TAATTTGCTCTTGGTTTTTTTGGGGTGCATAATTAATCACCACAGAGTTATCTTTAGAGGTTGCTGCATTAAACCTGTTCAACACCCAAAATGTGCTTAGCAACTGTCTCCTGGCCCAGTACATGACTGCATTAGACTCCCGATTATTGTAATGGATTTAGATTCTTTAGTAATACAATGTAGCTAATTCTGCTACCATCTGCACCCACCTCTGTTAGAGACCAATACATCTGTCTGGGCAATATGGTAGCTCTGTGGTTAGCACCGCTGCCTCACAACGCCAGGCACCTGGATGTGAATCCACCCTTGGGCGACTGTGTGGAGTTTTCACATTCTCCCATCTCTGTGCGGGTTTCCTGAGGGTGCCCCAGTTTCCTCCCGCAGCCCAAAGATGTGCAAGTTAGGTGTGTCCAGGGATGAGCAGGCTAGTTTGATTACCCATGGGAAATGCATAGTTACAGGGATAGGATAGGGTTGTGGATCTGGGTGGGATGCTGTTTGGAGGGTCAATATAGACTCAATAGGCTGAATGGCCTGCTTCCACACTGTAGTGATTCTATGATAAGAAGGCCTAGGAGTAGAAACAAGAAAAAAAAACCTTAGAAAGACTTTGGAATCTGGTGAGTACAGTTCTAACCTACTGAACAGCTCATGAGAAAAGCCCTCCATATCAGGAATCAAACATAGTGATTTATGCAAGCAAGAGGGCCTCAAACCCCCTCTGTTGCAGATTTCTGCAGTCTTCTTTTATTTAAATAATATTCGGATTCTCTGCCAAAGTGTGTTACCTCACATTTCATTTTTATCCACTCGCTCACCCTGTTTTATAGCAGTCTGTAAACTCCTATCATCAGCACATGCCTTCTTACCTATTTCTGTTTCATTCATAAACTTTGCAACAATACACTCACTTCCCTCAAGATTGTAAATAACTTTGTTCTGAGGACTGAATTCTGTGGCACTTGACTAGTTAGAGGTTGTCATCCTGAAACAGTTCCCCCAATCCTAAATCTCTTACTTTTATTAGTTAGCCAATCATTTATTCGTGCTAAGATATGCCCCAATACATCAGAACTAGGAATAGGTAATTAAGCCCTTCAAGCCTGTTCCATCACTTAATATGATCATGGCTGATCTTGTCTCATCCTTAACTCCGCTTTCCTGCCCGTGCTCCCTAACTCTTCAATCATTACTAATTAAAAATGTCTGTTTCCTCCTTAAATTTACCCCTTGTCCCAGCATCCACCATACTCTGTTTCTGTCCATTTGGAGGGTCAGTGTGGACTCAATGGGCTGAATGGCCTGCTTCCTCACTGTGAGGATTCTGTGATTCTATCCATATTAAACATCATCTGCCAAATTCTGGCCTGTTCACCAAACTTATCCACATCCATTTGTAAATTTCTTCATTGCAACTTAATTTTTCACCTATTTGTTATCATCTGCAAATTTGGATGTAGTACATTTTAATACTGCATTAATATAGATTGTAAGTAATAGGGGCCCAAGTGTAAAACTCTGTGGCACCCCGGCAGTTACATCTTGCCAACCAGAAAAAGACACCAACTCCTCTGCTTTCTACTGGTTAGCCAATCCCCAACCAAGGTAATAAATTACTCACAATCCCATGTGATTTTACCTTGTGTATTAACCTTTTGTGTGACACCTTATCAAATACCTTCTGGAAGTCCAGATATACATTGAGAGGACCCCCATTATTGACTTTGTTACAATTTGATAGAGTACTGAAGGCTGCAGGGTTCCCAAATGAAAAATGAGATACTGTTCTTTCACCTTGCACAGAGCCTTATTGGAGTACTGCAGCAGGCCTGTGACACAAACGTTGGTGTGGGAAACACACTTGTGTGTTGAATTGGCAGCCAACAGGAAATCTGAGATTCTTTTTGCATACAGAAAGAACTTAGGTGTTCCGCAAAGTGGTCACGCAGTCTGTGTTTCGTTTCCTCCATGTGGAGGTGACCACATTGTGAGCAGCAAATACAGTAGACTAGATTGAGTGAAGTGCAGGTAAGTTGCAGCTTCACCTGGAAAGTGTGTTTGCAGGCCTTGGATAGTGAGGAGGCAGGAAATAAACAGACAGATATTACACCTGCGATTGCATGGGAAGGTGCTGTGAGGGTATAGGGGGACGTCGGGAGTGAAGTGGTGATGCCCTGGAAGGAACGGTCCTTGCGGAATGCTGACAGGATAATGGAGAAGAATGTGTCTGGTGTTGGCATCCCACTGGAGATGATGGAAATAGTGGAATATAATCCTTTGACTGTGGATGTTGGTGGGTGGAAAGTGAGGACCGGGGATCCCTATCAATATTGTGGGAAGGAGAAGAGGGCAGAAGTGCAGGAAATGGGTTCAACATGGCTGAGAGCTTTGTCAATGTGGTGCTGGGGAATCTTCAGTTGAGGAAAAAGGTGGACATTTTTGAGGCGTCCCTGCAGAAGGTGGCATCATGAAGACAAAGAGAGAGGCGGAGAAACAGGGAGAATGGAGTGGAGTCCTTACAGAAAGCAGGGTGTGAGGATGTATAGTCCAGGTAACTTTGGGAGGCTGTAGGGTTTGTAGTGGATATGGTTTGGTGGTTAGCCTATCCCCAGAAATGGAAACAGAGAAGGACCAAGTGAAGGTGAAAGCAGGTTCGAAATTGGAAGCGAAATTGATTTAAAAAAAATTTCTAATTCCAGACAATAGAGGAAAGCAGCACTGATGATGTCATCGATGTACCAGAGAAAGAGTTATGGAAGGGACCCGAGTGGGATTGGAACAAGGAATGTTCCACGTACAGCAGAAAGAGACAGACATAACTGGGGCCTAGGTGGGGCCCAAGACCATACCTTTGACCTGAAGAAAATGAGAGGAGTTGCAGGAGAAGTTGTTCAAAGTGAGGTCAAACTCGGCCAGGTAGAGGAGGGCGTTGGTGGATGGGACGGTTTTTTTCAGGAAGAAGCAAGGTTCAACACAAGAGATTGCTTTTGAGAAGGTTCCACACAAGAGATTAGTAAGGAAAATTAAAGCTCATGGTATTGGAACTAACATGGTATTGATGTAGATAGAAAACTGGCTGGCAGACAGAAGCAGAGAGTGGGAATAAACGGGTCCGTTTCTGAGTGGCAGGCAGTAACGAATGGGGTGCTGCAGGGTTCAGTGTTGGGACCCCAGCTGTTCACAATATGCATTAATGATTTGGATGAAGGAATTAAATGTCATATCTCCGGATTTGTAGACGATGCTAATCTGGATGATTGTGTGGGCTGTGAGGAGGCTGCGAAGAGGCTGCAGGGTGACTTGGGCAAATACTTGGCAAATGCAATATAATGTTGATAAATGTGAGGTTACCCACTTTGGTTGCAAAAACGCAAAGGTAGATTAATATCTGAAGGGTGGAAGTTTAGGAAAAGGTGAGGTGCAACAAGACCTGGGTGTCATGGTGGAACAGTCGCTGAAGTTTGTCATGTGTGTGCAGGAGGCAGTGAGGAAAGCCAACGGCGTCTACTCCTTCATAGCGAGAGGATGTTTTGCTGCTTTTATACAGGGCCTTAGTGAGGCCGCACCCTGAGTATTGTGAGCAGTTTTGGCCTCCTAGTCTGAGTAAGGAAATTCTTGCTACTGAGGGAGTCCAGCAAAGGTTCACCAGACTGATTCCTGGGATGGCAGGACTGACATATGAGGAAAAATTGGATCAACTGGCCTTGTATTTGCTGGAATTTAGAAGGATGAAGGGAGGATATCATAGAAACATACAAAATCCCGGTGGGACTGGACAAACTATATGCAGGAAGAATTTTCCCTATGTTGGGGAAGTCCAGAACTAGGGGGTCACACCAGTTACCGAACATCCACCAAGCTTTGGGGGAATTATAATTGTGAAACTGTTCACTTATCTTCTTAATTTTCTTGGCCGACTTTCTAATGTGATCAGCCAGATTGGTAATGTTTTCTGATTTGTCGGGAATACAAGTGCAGCACTTTTGTCCTGTAATGGCACAGGTACCCCCCTTTTCGGCCAACACAAAATCCAATGCCATCCTATTCTGCAGTGCCACAGTCCTAACCGCCACTAATTCTACTGTAACTGCAGATAGAGCTTGCTGTGTGTCCCTGAAACCTTCTGCTGTTTCATTTGCTAATTTCTCTAATGCAGAGGCAATATTTATTAACTCCCTGGCTGCTTTTCCAGCTCCGTAAATGGGAAAAGCCATCATCCCAAACCTCTGTGCTTCGGTTATAGCTCTCCTTTGTACATTAGTGCCGGAATTGGTTATGCCGTGAACCCAGGGCTGTTGAGTTAGAGACTCAAATTGTCGGACCTGGGGTACGACATATGCTAGGTAACAACGGCCTGTCCACTGCATCGGGAGCCAAGAGTCGGCCTTTACCCTGCATACCCCATATGTTCCATTCAAGCACCACAGCGGTGTGTGGTTCAGGGTGTTGTTAGATTCGCAGCAGCTGTTGCCCATAAAGGTAGCGTTAGGGTGGTCTGGCTGACATGCACTCGCTGCCTGCTTCAGCCCTCATTACGGTCAGGCTGGGGAGCCTAGATGTTCTGACATATCTAGGTATGTACCAACCATCAAAGGTGAGTTCTTGTGATCTGTCCACACAAGGACAGAGGTAACAAAGATTCCCATATCTTACTGCCTTTGGGCGGGTTTCCTATCCAGCAATCCCCGGTTCTGATGCCTCCCTCCTTTCTTGATTTTTAAAATTTCTCCAGGTGTACATGTCACTATGGCTAAAAGGGATTGACCTTTAAAGGGATGCCCCCCTCCCCTCCATGGCGAGGGATGAGGGTGCATACCCAGCAAGTAGAGACACTACTTCTATCAGCATACTCGTGAGACATATGCGGAAAGGCGTTTCCTGCCTCTCCTCTATGCAGTCCGAAAACACATATCAGTCCAATTGCCACAGTCAGGATTTTACTTCTTCGCATGTTGTGTCTTTTCATTCTTGGCGATGTTTTCTTTCCTTTTGGGAGGACGTTATTCTCCTTTTTCGTCGCTGTGCAACTTGCACCTAGTGGCGTGGATCCAGTCGGGTTTCTCCTTCACTTTAACTGCCGTGCAAGTCGTTAGCAGCACCAGGTAAGGGCCTTTCCACCTGGGGGGAAAAGAGTCTTTATTCATCGATTTCACGTATATCCTATCTCCCGGCTTAAATGGATGCACATTACCTTCCTTTAGCAGTGCTTGGGCTTGTCGGACTCTTTCATGTAACTTACTTGCCTCCTGACACAACGTCTGCGCATACTTCAATGTTCTCTCATCATTCCATATTAAAGCTACCCTTTCTGGGGTCATAGGAGGCCTAGTTCCTGTTGTCATAGGTCGTCCCATTAAAATCCCATGAGGGGTGAGTCCTGTTTTTCTATTCTTCTGATTTCGCACAGTGTACAGTACTAAGGGTAGGGCCTCTGGCCACTTGAGGTCATTTTGCTGGCAGACCTTTGTTAGGGCCGTTTTTATTTCTCTGTTTATTCTTTCCACTATACCTGAGGACTGGGACTGATAGGGGATGTGCAATTTCCATTGAAATCCTAGGGCTTCCTTTAATCGCTGTACCGGTTTGTTGGTGAAATGGGTCCCTCTGTCACTATTTATTCCCACTGGAATACCGAATCTAGGCATGATTTCTTTCATTAATATATTTATCACAGTTCTAGCATCATCCCTCCTCGTTGGATAGGCCTCCACCTATCTGGAGAACATGTCAACTATTACTAACATATACTTAAACATATACTAACATAAACTTAAGCAGGCATGTGCACAAAGTCAATTTGCAAATTTTCAAAAGGCAATCTGGTTGGGGTAAGTGGTCAAACGTAGCGGCTGTCCTTCCTCTAGTATTCTGTTGGCATACCAAGCAAGTTTGTGCTACTTTCTCAATGGTTACTTTTATCCTGGGGGCATACCATTATTGAGCGATAACATGTGGCATCCCTCCTTTGCTCATGTGAGCCTGGCCATGGGCCAGGCAAGCTAGGGGCAAAAATAGACTACGGGGGCACACCACGCGACCGTCCGGATGGCACCATATGGAACCAGATTGATAGCACCATGCCTTGTGCCAGGTGCTCTGATCTTGGCGAGAGGCGTGCCTCTGAGCCTCTTCCAACTGTGGCGCTTCAATACACACAGGGAGCTCCCTACCCCCTGATTCAACCCGTGGGACCTGCAGCAATGGAGACAGTCACTGTCTTCACCGTTTCATCAGCAAATCTATTCCCCTTAGATACTTCAGCCCCTGCAGAGGTATGTGCCTCGCATTTAATAATCGCTACAACCTGTGGCAGCTGTATGGCTTCTAAAAGATTCAGTACCAGGGTGGCGTGCTTAATCGGTTTCCCCGATGAGGTGATTAATCCCCTGTTCTTCCACAGTTGCCCAAAGTCATGCACCGCCCTGAAGGCATAGCGTGAGTCAGTATAAATGTTTACTGTTTTGTCCTTAGCTAGAATGCAGGCTCAGGTGACTGCGAACAGTTCGGCAGCTTGTGCCAAGTTTCCTTTGGACAGGGCGTATGTCTCCATTACTTTGTGTGGGGTAACTATGGCATACCCAGCTAACAGCAAGTTGTCTTTTGGGCAGTACGAGGAACCGTCTGTAAACAGGATTAAATCAGGGTTTGTAATGGGCATGCTAAGCAAATCTGGCCGCGGCGTAGTGGTAGCATTGACACTAAGTAGGCAATCATGTCGGTGCCTTCTGGAGTTGGCAAAGGAATAAAGGTGTCAAGGCTGATGGCAGGGGACCACTCGTATTTATAGTTGGAGCGAGAGAGAAGAATCACCTCCATAGCCAGTTCGTCAGGCAGTTGTAAAATGCTGAGTGGCAGCAGAGTTCAGTAACAGCAGAACTGTACACGGATGATCCAACACAATGGGGATAGACTTTTCCACCATTACAGCAGTAGCAGCTACCGCCCGTAGACAGGTTGGTATGCCCATCACAACCGCGGGGAGGGTTGTGGAATAATAAGCCACTGGATGCCTCCCTCCCCCATGTTCCTGACACAGGATACCCGTGGCAAATCCTTGCGATTCCTTCACGTATAGTTGGAATTAAAATTCTTTCTCTCAGACATCAGTTTCTCCCATGGCTGCCCTTTCTGTCTTGGCCTAAATTCCCATCTACCCTTGCGATGTAAAATTTTTCTTCCACAGGTTCAGAGGGATATGGACCAATTGCAGGCAATTGGAACTAGCTGAGTGGGCACCATGGTCAGCATGGACCAGTTTAGGCCATAGAGCCTGTTTCAATGTTATTTTACTCTATGACTCTATCACTACATGATCAGCCATGATCATATTGAATGGTGGTGCAGGCTGTAAAGGCCAAATAGTCTTCTGCTGCACCTATTTTCTATGTTTCTACGTAAGCAGACAGCTCGAAGATCATGAATGTTGCATTTGCATAGTGAAGAGAAGGTAGCTGGTGCATGTGAACCAGAAATAGATGACAGAAAAATCAAGTCAAGGTAGGAAGAGAAAAGTTCTGTGGGGCAGGAACGAGCATCTCTGCTGCCACTTCCTTTAAAACTTTAAGATTCAATCCTCCAGTTTGCTCAGTACATTTTCACTGGTGGTTATGATTGTTCTAAGTTCCTACCTTTGTTTAACCTCTTCATTACCTGTTACTACTGGCATGGTAGTTGTGTCCTCCACCGTAAAAACTGAAGCAAAATATTAACTTAGTGACCGTGCCATTTCTGTGCTCCCCACTATTAACTGTCCAGTCCCATCCTCAAGGGATCAATGTTCAGTCTAGCTACTGTCTTCCTTTTTGTATATTTATTGGTAGCTTTTGCTATCTGTCTTTTATATTTTGCACTGGTTTTCATCTACAATTTACACTTGCTCTTTTTCTGACTTTTTAAATAACCTTTATTGATCTTTAAAAGCTTCCAATCTTCCAGCCTGCTATTCACCTTTGGAGTTTTGGTCTTGAATTCATCTTTAACTTCCTTGCTTAGCCATCTTACAGTCTTTCTTACTTTCTGGATTATGTTTTATCTAGGAGCAATTGAATATTTTCTTAAACGTCTATTGCTGCTCGTCTGCTTTTCTACATTCCAGTCTTCCCACCCAGACCACTAAGGCCAAATCTGGCATGTAATTCATAGAATCATAATATTTTACAGTACAGAAGGACGCCATTCAACCCATCGTGTCTGTGCCAGATCACAGAAGAGCTACCCAGCTAGTTCCATTCTGTAATCCTCTCTCTGCAACCTGCTAAATTGATCACTTTCAAATATATATCTAGCTCTGTTTTGAAACCTCATATTGGATCCACCTCTATCACTCTCCCAGTGCATTCCAAAAACTAAGAACTTTCTGAGTAAAGAAGTTCCTCCTCATCTAATTCCTAGCCCTGTTGCTGAAAATCTTTATATTATAGCCCTCATTACTGGCATACCAACTAGTCAACACAGATTTTTTGTTCAACCCTGTCAAAATTGTTCATAATTTTGAACACCTCAATAAGATCACCTCTTAATCTTCTCTGATCCAAGGAGAATAAACCCAATTTCTCTAATCTTTCCTTGTATCTAACATCCCTCATTCTTGGTATCATTCTCATAAGTCTCCTTTGCACTCTGTCAAGGGTTTTAACATCCTTAAATAAGGTGCCCAGAACTGAACACAATATTTGAAATATGGTCATAAAATCACAGAGTCATACAGCTTGGAAATAAATCCTTCAGTCTGACTCATTCCTGCTGATCAAGTTTCTCAAACCAAATGAGTCCCACTTGCCTGCATTTGGTCCATAAAAGCTCTAAGCCCTCATGTACCTGTCCAAATGACTTTTAAATGTCGTAAAGGTACCTGCATCTACCAGCATCTCTGGCAGTTCATTCCACATACAAACCACCCTCTGTGTGGAAAATGTCCCTCAGATCCCTTTTAAATCTTTCTCCTCTCAAATTAAAAGTATACTCCAAAATTTTGAACACCCCAACCCAGGGAAAAGGCCTTTGCTATTCACCTTATCTATGCCATGAGAATAAGGGAAGTGAACATGTGGCTAAAAGAGTGGTGTGGGAAAGAGGGCTTCCTTTTCATGGGACACTGGCATCAGTATTGAAACAGGAGGGATCTGTACCGTTGGGACGGTCTCCTCCTGAATCGAGCTGGGACCAATGTTCTAGCAAAAAGGGTAAATAGGCTGGTCAACAGGACTTTAAAATAGAAAGCTGGGGGGTGGGGGTGGAGAGAAGGGAATGGTGAAACTTGCCCTGGTGGGAAACAAATCAGCAGGTTAACATCTGTAGTGATGGATTCAACTAAGTGGAAAAATACAAAAGAAATGACAGGGAAGGAGAATTCAGGAGAGGTTATTAAAATCTCCAGCACAGACACAAATAGGACAGAGTGTTTGGAAAAGGCTAGCAATCAAACACTGGAAAAACAAATGAAAATGAGAAGAGGGAGGGTTAATACAGGACTGAAGGTGTTATATCTGAATGCACACAGTATAAGGAATAAGGTAAATGAGCTTGTGGTGCAGGTCGAAACTGGCAGGTATGACGTGGTAGGCATCATGGAGACGTGGTTGCAAGAGGATCAGGATTGGGAACTGAATATCCAAGGATATACATCCTATCGAAAAGATAGACGGTAGGCCGAGGGGGTGGGGTTGCCTTATTAGTGAGAAATGAAATTAAATCAATAGGAAGAGACTAAGTAGGATCAGATGGTGTAGAATCAGTGTGGGTAGAATTGATGAACCGTAAAGGTAAAAAAACCATACTTGGGGTTGTGTACAAGCCTCCAAACAGTAGTCAGGAGCTGGGGCGCAAGATACACCAGGAGACAGAAAACGTGTGTAAGAAAGGCAAAGTCACAGTGATCATAGGGTATTTCAATATGCAGGTGGACTGGGAAAATCATGTTGGTAGTGGAGTGCAAGAAAAGGAGTTTGTGGAATGTCTACAAGATGGCTTTTTGGAGCTGCTTGTGGTGGAGCCCACAAGGGAACAGGCAATGAGGCAGACTTGTAAAGGAACCCTTAGGAGGCAGTGACCATAAGATGATAGAATTTACCCTGCAATTTGAAAGGGAGAAGATAGATCAGAGGTAACGGTATTACAGC